CCAGTCGTATTTATACCGAGTCGGTTCACCACCACCAGAGGTCACCAAGGCTGGCGCACTGGTGAGGGCGTGGTCGGGGACAAGGACCGCCCCTCGTCCCACCACTGTGCAGATGTCACCGGGAGTTGCTGACCTACTTTTTGCGGGTGGAAACAACGACGAGCCTGTATCCCATCCGTTCTTGTGGCAACGTGTTGGTTTAAATCTAATATAAATCAACTCAAGTCTTCGTCCTAGACAAGGCAATGATTACCACATGGCTACTATAACGACAGGATTAAGATGACGTTACCATGCCATGGATGTTTGTGAAACCTTGAAAAAGTTTGCACATCCTCGCGGACGTATACCTCGGAAATTGAAGGGTCTCATGTCTTGAGAAGGGCAGAGCTGGGAACTACCCTGAATGATCTTCAGTATGGCAGTTTGGGTTTAAAACCCCATACAAATGTGAAACGTCCCTTTTAATGATTCTGCCTATGTTGTCTGCCCTGCCAAGAATACTTACAATCGTTCGTGAAAGAGGACCGAGTGCTTGGAGAACACTACTAAAGGGCTATCAACTGGCACTGCAAACACTTGTCTGATGAAGGCCTCAGATTTATTATTGATGAATGACCCCGGAAGCACATCACTTAATGCAGGTGGACGGGCTGCAGCGGCCGATTTGTGGGTTATGGCAGTCAATTAAACATTCATGGTCGTGCGCGTCGAATGCGACCGTGTGCAGTGATATCATTGTGCGAGTGCTGTCTGTCTGAATCTTGTGATCCTGCTCCTGGCTTACAGGAACTTGCCATATTGCGAACAAATCTTTCTTGGTAAGTGTAATTTATCAAGGTGGAGAACCCACCACGCGCATTTCCGAAACGTAGTGGAACGATCATATACTGGCACGTGAGAGCTCAAGGTGAGCCGTCACCTGCGCTTCAAGATTTTTGCAGTCCAACATCTCATTCTATCCAAGATTATCCGTCAGGCTATCGTTCAGATTTAAACATCAGATTTCCAGACCATGCTGACCATTCAGACCATCGTTCATGTTTACCCAGTGTGCATGGGACTAACAAAATATGTAGGCACCTACTCTTGCAAAATCCGCTCCAGTGTGAAAAACATGAAAACATTTCTTACAAAAATAATGACATAGCCAGAATTCGTGGAAGTGGATGAAACAATCCGGCTGGGATTTACCAATAGCCACCGGAAAACGGCGAAAGTAAAATAAAAATAAAACTATCCACTGTACTGCTAAAACGGTTCGCATGGATCTAATAGAATAAGCGACAATGACATTTAATGAGGTAGAACCAAAAAGCATTCCACATTCTGGATAGGTCTCTTAAATCAATGCAATGAACCCAAGGGATGCACTTTGGCAATGTACCAGGTTCATATGACGGAAATGGCAGGCTTATAATAATAATCTAATTCGCTTTCATCTGCGTGTGATGGATCTGCATAGATATGCATCAACAATTCTCAATGGTGTATCCGGAAGCACAAAATCAATGTGGTGCCCCCATTGGAGTCATAGAACATCAGGACAGAGGTTTCATAAAGATATAGACACGGCCGTTTTAAATGCAAGATATTCAAGCGAGACGAATCAATTCATGTGCTTTTGATAGCATAGGTAGAGAGCTATGAAACGATCTTCATCATCAAGCCTGTCCGCCAATGGCCTGTTAACGATTACTTGATGGGACGAGCACTACAAATATCATTGAAAAAGCGGAAACATTCTAAACAAATAGCAAAAAAACTGGTGCGTGCAGTGCCAGCAGTTCTGACTTACATTCAGTACCTGATGCTGAATGACATGAACCGAAGTCGTTACTATCGTTATTACTATAATTACTATTATTGCGAACATTGGATAAATCAAGCAGGTGGCTTTCATAACGCCGCGTCAGTACACACTACAAAGAACAACGCAGAACAGTGCAACACATGCAACACGGGAGGCAACGCCAGCGATACACATACGATGTTATAAAAACATGAACGACTTGTGATACAATCAGTAACATGCGCGTCATGGCCAGTTGGTTAATTTCGGCAAGAGACCTGTTGAAATGAACATTGCTTTGCTGTTAAACTCACTTAATTTTTTGCTCTGTCGCGTGGTAGCAGGGAAGCGATTCCACGCCGCCCCAGCTCGATAGGCAAATCGTTTTTTCACGCACTAGAGCGAGGTTGTTTACAGCGCTCGTCTACAGTACAGTTTCGTCATCGGTGGCTCTGGTGTGCCGCTGAGTTACTTCAGATCGGCGCCTGATCAGATTACTGATAGCCCGTGGGCATCAGGCAGCCGTAAATGGCGCGATGCAAACATATGCAGTCGCGGTGGGTGACAGTCTCGTCGAATTTGGGCGAATTTAGCTGTTTTCGGGATTCCGTGACGTGATCTCGTCTGCGTTTGCCGGGCCAGCAATCTGAGCGCGAAGTTAATTGCCTATCCAGACGCTGCGCTGAACGGCTGTTGTCGGGGCCATGCAGGTAAACAACAGCTGATGTCAGGGAAAACCAGTGACTCAACTAGGGACTTTATTGCGGAGCTAGGGAGCACCTGCCTATGCTTGTTAATAGCTGTGACTGTGCCAAGACAGCGTCAAGAAGTTTACGTCGTTGATGCTGCCAGCAGATATTTTTGATAGATGAGGACACCCAGTAGTTTTATGAACATCTGAAGGAGAGAGCTGAGAGGCTATCAAAATTCAAACTCTGCCCGTCGGTATATGCGTGTGCTGGTGGTGTGTTTGGCTACAACGAATTCAATTTGATTGGTTAATCTTCATGCCAATGTGACGAAACCGTACTGAGACTGCAATCAGATCGGGACTCAACACACGAACGCAGCTGTGCGAGGCCACGGGCAGATGGCGATGATTCATGCATAGCTGCATGTGCTACAGATAAAAAATCAGAGGACTAACAATTCGTCTAAGAAAATGCCAAAATAACGCCCCTCATGTCTCAGATTTTACTGTGTCGTAACTCGTGGGATATCTGTG